CCTCTCGCAGTCTGGGACCCCTCGGAGGATGACCACCTGCTGGCTTAGGCCCACTCCCTGGGGGATTGGACCTAAGCTGGCAGTCAGACATCCCTCTGGCAGCCCGGGAGCCCTCAGGGGATGTCCACTTGCCAGCGGGTAGCAGGCCTAAGCTGCAGTCGGACATCCTTAGCGCTGCTGAGGAGGCGGGAGAGGCTCCCACCACCGCTGTACTGGCAGCCGCCAGCCTAGCTTGTGGCTGAGCAGAGCTCCGCCTGTGGGAGCACACTGACCACCAGAAGCAGCTCCTGCATTGAGCATCTGCCCACTGGTGGTCAGTGTGTGTCATAGTGACCAGTTTTTCCCAGTCGTTCTGCTGTTAGGGTCAATTTGCATATTACCCTTTTATTATATAGGAGTGCCTGGCCAGCCTGGGTGAGGGGTTGATGGCTGTTTGCAGGCTGGCCACAATCCCCAGCCACCCAAGCTCCCAGTGGAGGCTGGCTGGAAGCAGGTGTCTGGGATTTATTTATCTTCTATAATTGAAACTTTGTTGCCATGAGCGGAGGCCACAGCCAGCTCAGGGCAGGCAGGAAGCTTGGCTTCCTCCATCGCCCGGGCAACCAAGTCTCCTGCTTGCTCCAGCTCCGTGGCTGCCTGCCGCCATCTTGGTTGGGTTAATTTGCATACAGTCGCTCTGATTGGCTGGTGGGCGTGGCTTAGGGCATAGCGAAGGTACGGCCAATTAGCATCTTTGTCTTTTATTAGTGTAGACTAGTGGCCCATTGCACGAAAATTTGCACAATAGGCCTTCCTTCCCCTGGCTACCGACACCAGTTTTCCTCTGGTACCCAGGATCCAGGCCTTTGGTCCGGCCGCAGCAGTGAGGCTTGGCTTCTCCTCTCCGGCTGCTCCCAGCCTCTCCTTTTTTTTTCCAGCTCCTCGAGCTGAGGCCAGGGCTGGCTGGAAGCCCTGAGCACCCCAAGCCTCCTGCTCCCTCCAGCTCCGTGGCCGCCCCCATCTTCAGTCGTCTTCAGTATTCGCTCCGCACCTGCGTCTGCAAATTAACTGCCATGTTTGTTGGGTTAATTTGCATAGTCGCTCTGATTGGCTGGTGAGTGTAGCGGAGTAACATTTCAAGAATTTTTACCATGGTTCTGGCTGGTGGGCTCACTGGTTGAGCATCAAGCAATGAACCAGAAGGTCACAGTTCAATTCTCAGGGCGCACATGCCCTGGTTATATGGGCTTGATCCCCAGTAGCGGGGGTGCAGGAGGCAGCCAATCAATGATTGTCTGTCATCATTGATGTTTCTATTTTTCTCTCCCTTCTCTGAAATCAATTGAAAATATATATTTTAAAAATGTTTTTAAAAAAAGTTTCTGGTTTAATTCCAGTTAGGGCCCATGCCCAGTTGCGGGCTGATCAATGTTTCACTTACATTGATGTTTCTCTCCCTCCCCCTTCCTCTCTCTAAAAATCAATAAAAATATTTTTAAAGTATTAAAAAAATAATTTTTGACATGACCACCCAAATACCCCCAAATTAAATTCTACTTGATTTATCATATATCTCTCCATCTCTACATCCACCTTATTTTTTTTTGATGCATTTAAAAATAAATTGCAGGCATCAATGCATGTTTCCCTAAATATTTTAGCCTATATATTAACTTGAGTTCAGTATTTGTTCACTCTTTTCTTTTGAGATTGAATTTCTTTCAAAGAAACTCATAAATGTTTATTGTATATTTGCTGAACTTTAACAAAATTATATACTAGCAAAACCCAACCCTAATCAAGATATGGAACATTATTATCCCAGAAAATTCCACTTCCCAAGCAATTCTTGCCACCACTACCTAGAAACAGCTACTGTTTTGATTTTCTTTTACCATAGATTAATTTTGCTTATTATAAAAACTCATATAAATAGGCTCAAAGACTATCAACTCTCTTGTGTAAAACTATTTTTACTCAACCCAATGTTTGTAAATGGTTTATTCCTTTTTTTGCTCAGTAGTGTTTAATTCTATTATTATACCACAATTTATCATCTGTCCTGTTTATGGACATTTGGGTTGTTTCCACATTGGAGGTATCCACTAATAATAGAGAAACATGCAAATTAACCATCACTCCAACACTCCGCTACACCCACAAACCATGCCCACCTGCCAATCAGGAGTGAGTATGCAAACCAACTAAGATGGTGGCCATGGAGCTGGAGCGAGCAGGAGGATTGGGTTGCCTCCGGCGATGGAGGAAGCCAAGCTTCCCGCCTGCCCTGGCCGGCCCTGGGCTCCGCTCAAGGCTACAAAGTTTCAATTATAGAAGATAAATAAATCCCAGATACCTGCTTCCAGCCCGCCCTGGCCTCTGCTCAAGGAGGCGCTGAAAAAAAAAAATAGGAGAGGCTGGGAGCTTGGGTCACCGGGGGCCATGGCCAGCCTGAAAACGGCCATCAGCCCCTCACCCAGGCTGGCCAGGCACCCCAGCGGGACCCCACCCCCCCCCCTGAAGGGGCTGTGGCCAGCCTGAAAACAGCCCTCAGCCCTTCACCCAGGATGGCCACACCCCCATGGGTGAGGGTTACCGCTGGGTGGCTTGGCCAGCCTGAAAATGGCCCTCAGCCCCTCACCCAGGCTGGCCAGGCACCCCAGCGGGACCCCCACCCTGATCCAGGACATCCTTCAGGGCAAACCAGTTGGCCCCCACCCATGCACTAGGCCTCTATCCTATATAATAAAAGGGTAATATTCAAATTGACACTAACAGCAGAGCGACTGGGAATGACTGGTCACTATGACACACACTGACCACCAGGGGGCAGACGCTCAATGCAGGAGCTGCCCCCTGGTGGCCAGTTCGCTCCCACAGGCGGAGCTCTGCTCAGCCACAAGCCAGGCTGACGGCTGCCAGCACAGCAATTGTGGTGGGAGCCTCTCCCGCCTCCTCAGCAGCACTAAGGATGTCCGAATGCAGCTTAGGCCTGCTACCCGCAGGCCAGTGGACATCCCCCGAGGGCTCCCCAGCTGCCAGAGGGATGTCTGACTGCCAGCTAGGCCCGATCCCCTGGGGAACGGGACTAAGTCAGCAGGTGGACATCCTCCGAGGGGTCCCAGACTGCGAGAGGGCACAGGCTGGGCTGAGGGACCCCCTCCCCCTCGAGTGCACAAATTTTTGTGCACTGTGCCTCTAGTTATGAATAAAACTGTATGAGCATTCTTATTCAAGTGTTTTTGTGGGCTTGTGTTTTCATTTCTGTTGGGGAAATACCCAGGAGCAGGCCATGTGGGATGTGTCTTTGGTTTTATAATATCCACCACATCTTTTTCTCACTAGCAGTGTGTGAGAGTTCTAGTTATCCCACATCCTCATCATCATTCGATGTTGTCAGCCCTTTCCATTTTAGCTACTCTAGTGGGTAGATAGTTGGAGAGCTGTAAGGAATGGTCTGTAAAGCTGACTTCTGAACCAAGACTTGAAGGTG